TTTTTTTTTTTTTTTAAATAATTGTTGATACATGTTCTTAAGTGATTGGATTGTAGTTACAAACATTTGAGAATTCACCCTAGGGCATACAATGTAGGAAATAGCCCTCATTATTTCCTTAGGTCTTTCTAAGTATGTAAGATGTTGCAATGGAGAGAGATCCTATTGATAAAAGATGCAGGCATACCCAGAAGATATTGCAGGTTTGGTTCCAGACCATGGCAATAATATGAATCATACATATGTTTTGGTTTCCCATTATATCATACGGTAGTCTCTCGTGTATAGTTGTGTTACGTCTAAGTAAAGTACCTTAGTTTAAGATACTTTAGTGCCAAAAACTACTAATGATCATCTGAGACTTTGGCGAGTTGTAATCTTTTTGCTTGTGGTGGGTCTTGCCTCAGTGTTGATGGCTGTTGTCAGGGTGGCTGTGGCAGTCTTATTTAAAGACAGCAGTGAAGTTTGCTGCATTGACTTCATTTAATGAAAAACTTGTTTGTACCCTGTGATACTGTTTGCTAACATTTTCCACATAGTGGTACTTCTTTTGGAATTGGACTATTCCTCTCAAACTTCGCTACTGCTTGATCAGCTAAGTTTATGTAATATTCTAAGTCTGTTGGGGTTTCAGCAACATTCACAGCATCTTCACCAGGAGTAGATTTCATTTCGGGAAACCACTTTCTTTGCTCATCTATGAATGCAACCCCTCATCTAGTCAAGTTTTTTCATGAGATTGAAACAATTCTTTCACATCTTCAGGCCCCACTTCTAATTCTAGTTCTCTTTTTTCCATCACATCCATAGTTACTTTTTCTACTGAGAACTTGAACCCTTGAGAGTCACCTGTGAAAGTTGGAATTAACTTCTTCCAATCTCTGGTTAACGTTGGTTTTTATTTTTTTTTTAGAGACATAGTGTTGTGTTGCTCATGCTGGAGTACAAGTGGGTATTCACCAGCACAATGAGAGCACATTGTAGCCTTGAACTCCTGGCCTCTCAAGTGATCCTCCTGCCTATGCCTCCTGAGTAGCCGAGAGTACAGGCATACACCACCACACCTGCCTTAATGTTGATATTTTGACCTCCTTCCATGAATCACAAATGTTGTTAATGGCATCTAGAATGGTGAAGCCTTTCTGCAAGGTCTGCAATTTTATTTGCCTAGATCCATCAGAAGAAGCACTATTAGTGGCAGCTATAGCCTTATAAAATGTATTTCTTACATAAAGACTTGAAATTCAGAATTATTCCTTAATCCATGGGCTGCAGTTAGCAGGCATGAAAATGTTAATCTTGTTTATAGTTCCATAAGAGGTGTTGGTTACTAGGTGCATTATCAGTGGTAATTTGAAAGGAATCTCTGAACAGTATGTTTTACAGTGGGCTTAAAATATTCAGTAAACCATGCTGTAAATAGATGTAAATAGATACCACAGGGAGAGAAGATGTAGCATGATTCTTACTGGCTCTTTGGTTTTTGGAATGGTAAATGAGCAGTAGCATTCATTTAAAGTCACCAACTGCATTGGCTCCTAACAAGAAAGCCAGCCCAGGCTGGGCACAGTGGCTTACACCTATAATTCCAGTGCTTTGGGAGGCTGACACTGGAGGATCACTTGCGGCCAAGAGTTGAAGACCAGCCAGCACAACAGTGTGACCCTGTCTCTACAAAGTAAAGTAAGAGTCAGCCTGTTCTTTGAAGCCTAGAAGTCAGATACTGACTTCGCTAGAGCTATGAAAGTCCTAGATGGCATTTTCTGAAGTAAGACTGTTTTGTCTCTATTAAAACTCGAGTATTACTACCTCTACCTGTTATCTAGATCTTTGGGAAATGCTTGCTGCAGCTTCAACATCAGCAATTGCTGCTTCACTTTGTACTTTCATGTTATGGAAAGGGCTTGTTAAACCTCATGAACTGATCTCTGCCAGCTTCCAGCATTTCTTCTGCAGCTAACTCACCTCTCAGCCTTCATACAATTAGAGTTAGGGCCTTGCTCTGGATTAGGTTTTGTCTTAAGGGAATGTGGCTGGTCTGATCTTCTATCCAGACACTAAAACTTTCTGTCAGTGGTGAGGCTGTTTTCCTTTCTTATTTGTGTGTTCACTGCAATAGCAGTTAATTTCCTTCAAGAACTTTTCCTTTGCATTCACAACTTGGCTAACTGGCACAAGAGGCCTAGATTTTGGCCTATCCCGGTTTTTTTTTTTTTTTTGGAGACATGGTCTCGCTTTTGCCCAGGCTAGAGTGTAGTGCAATTAAAGCCCATTGCAGCCTCAAACTGATGAGTTTAAGTGATCTTCCTGTCTCCTGAGTAACTAAGACTGCAGGTATGCACCACCTTGGCTGGCTAATTATTTTTTTTAAAGATATAGGACTTTACTGTTTCCAAGGCTGATCTTGAACTTATAACCTCAAGTGATACCCCCGCCTGTGCCTCCCAACACGCTGGGATTACAAGTGTGAGCTGCTGCACCTGGTGAGAAATGTGCAACTCCCCCTTGCACTTGAACATTTAGGGGCCATTGTGGGGTAATTAATTGACCTAATTTCAATATTGTTGTGCCTCAGGGAATTAGGAGGCCCAGGGAAAGGGCGAGAGAGTGGGGGAGTAGCCACTTGGTGGAGCAATGAGAACATGGCATTTACTCAGTTTGCTGTCTTCCAAGGTTGTAGTTTGTGGTACCCCAAAACAATTAAAATAGGAACATCAAAGATCACAGAGTGACTGGGAACAGTGGCTCATGCTTGTAATCCCAGCATTTTGGGAGGCCCAGGTGGGCAAATCACGAGGTCAGGAGTTTGAGAATAGCCTGGCCAACATAGTGAAACCCCGTCTCTACTAAAAATAGAAAAAATTAGCTGGGCATCGCAGGTACCTGTAGTCTCAGCTACTTGGGAGGCTGAGGCAGGAGAATCACTTGAACCCAGAAGGCAGAGGTTGCAGTGAACCGAAATCACACCACGGCTGTCCAGCCCGGGTGACAGAGAGAGACACTGTCTTAAAAAAAAAAAAAAAAAAAAAAAAAAAAAAAAGAAAGAAATCACAGAGCACCACAGTAAATAAAATAATGAAAATATTTGAAATATTGTAAAAATTACCAGGATGTGAGAGACAAAAAGTGAGCACATGCTGTTGGAAAAAATGGTGCCACAGGACTCGTACTTGTAAAAAAAAAAATATCTGCAAAGTGAAGTAACATGAGGTATGTCTGAAGCTATTGCTTTAGTGGTTGCCAAATGGTGGTTTTCTTTTTTCTTCTTTTTGTTGGTCTGCCACAGGGTCTTGTTCTGTTGCCTAGGGTGGAGTGCAGTGGCACGATCATGGCTTACTACATCTTTGACCTGGGCTCAAGTGATCCTCCCACCTCAGTCTCGTGGGTACCTGGGACCACAGGCACATGCTAACATGCTTAATTAAATTTTTTAATTTGTAGAGCCGAGGTCTCATTATGTTGCCCAGACTGGTCTCAAACTCTTGGACTCAAGCAGTCCTCCCGCCTCAGCCTCCCAAAGTGCCGGGATTACGGGTGTGAGCCACCGAACCTAGCACAAAAAGTGATTTTCTAATTCCTTAGTTTCTTCTGCATTTCTTAATTGGAATTTTGTAAGGAAGAGTTATCCTTAATCATTTATTTACCCATTTACTTGTAGGAGCATGTATCATAAATTCTTATTCTATGGGGTATAGTTAGCTACTGTAAATTTGATGCACATATTTTTCCAGATTCAATAAGTAAGGTCTCCATCAAGCTATCTTCTGAATCTTTAAAAATATATTCTCCTGGGCCGGGCGCGGTGGCTCAAGCCTGTAATCCCAGCAGTTTGGGAGGCCGAGGCGGGTGGATCACAAGGTCAAGAGATCGAGACCATCCTGGTCAACATGGTGAAACTCCGTCTCTACTAAAACTATAAAAAATTAGCTGGGCATGGTGGCACGTGTCTGTAGTCCTAGCTACTCAGGAGGCTGAGGCAGGAGAATTGCCTGAACCCAGGAGGCGGAGGTTGCGGTGAGCCGAGATCGCGCCATTGCACTCCAGCCTGGGTAACAAGAGCGAAACTCCATCTCAAAAAAAATTATATATATATATATATATATATATATATATTTTTTTTTTTTTTCTCCTAATTTCATGGGTATATAATTATTTTCTGGGCAAGCTTGTTCCTGGTACATTTGTCTCCAGCCCCCAAATCAGAAAAATCTAGTTTTCTTTTAACAGAGAATACTATTTAGAAGCTGCAGTCTCTGTGTGCAGGGGTGTTCCTAGGTAATAGTGCCCTGGCTTTTAGGTCCTCTCTGTGAAAGATGTGGGAAAT